AGCCGCCCCGCCCCCTTTTTCGCCGCGGGCGCAGAGGCTGCTGGGATAGGGGAGGTAATTTTTTCCCGCCGCTGCCCCAGCTCTGAGGTGAGGGGGAGTTGGCGCCATGTCCCAAGCAGATCCTGAGCTGCTCCTGCAAGAGCTGGGAGGTTGGGATTGGGATCTGTGTCGCCGGGAGTTGCCCGTCGTCTTTCCCCGGCTCCTTATATCCTTCCCGGGAGGGGTGGTTTGGTTGTTGTGTGGCTGTGGGGGGAGCACCCCGAAATGGCGGGGTGGGTGTGTGGGGATGCCTCCTTCAGCCTCGCGCAGTTCAAGTAAATAAATGCGGGAGGGGGGGGCGGAAGTGGTGCGACCTATGCAAGGGGCTGACCCAGGACAGAAAAGCTGGGTATTTCACTGGAAATGAGTACAGCCCTTCACTGAAGTGAAAGATTCACGGTAGAAAATAGCGTGTGGTTCATTTAGCACTGTGGATAACTCCCCCAGCCGCCCCCCTCTCCCCTCCTCCAAAAAACCCCCCACCAAAACCCAAACAGACACAAAAATACAGAAGACTTATTCTCCAATACACTGTAGAAATCGTGCGGGTGCTGAGGTGTATCTGCCTGTGTTGGTTATGGAGCACCCCTGCCAATTCCGTACGATGGATGAAGTGTATGTGGGACACTGTGGCAGAAGTTGCTGTGACTTCTGCAGGTGCTTTAGAAATAACCTATACAGCAGAATGAGTTTGAATTTCTTTAACGCTTTTACTCTATGTATCAAGAGTCTGAAGACTGGACTGAGCACATTCGTAAGTAGTGACCAAGAATTGCCTCTTCTTCCTAAGGGTCGTTGTACTGCAATTGCGTTATAAAATTTGGCACTACTTAGAGATACTTCTGCTATAACTACTGACTTTCACAGTCTTCAGCAATCCTGCTGGGCCTTGCATGTTACATGAATTACATGTTGAATAAGCATTCTAAAAGCCCATAAAGAAGCTATGCCTGTAAGGCTGCTTTTTCTATCCCACTGCTTTTAGATACTTGAAAGAACAGTGCTGTTCTTCTTGTATTTTATTGTCTTTTTGGCCATTATCTTACAGGAGGCAAAACTCTGCTAATACCTCATAGCGATAAGAAAATGAGGCTGATATGTAACCGTTTAGGAGTCTTGCTAACATTCACTGATGTTTATTAGTGCCAACCAGCATGTTAAATGTGCAACTATTTGCAGTTTGGAATATGGAGAATTCTCGTTCCATGGGAAAACAATTGTGCTCAGCCTTCAACTAAGCGTAGTCATGTGTGATGCTGTTATTGATGGGTTTATGCATGTTGGAGCTGTTACTGTTACTTGATTTTTCAGATAATGCAAATGTGGCAAATTTTATGTTGCCCCTCAGAATGAAAGATCTGATCTGTTTCTGCTTGATGCAGTTCTTTGTTTCATATGGAAGGTTACTTCATATTTCTGATAATCACATTTTGTTTTTCTGTAAGATTTTACAAATGTTTTGCTTTGCAGGTGTTTTGAGGATCCTGATTGAAATGTTTTTGCCCCATATCAGCCTTGCAGATTTGGAACAAACTTTTTTCTCAAAAGTATTACCTAAGGTATGACAGCTTCAATTAAGTGTGGAATTTTCAGTCAGTCCAGTGCTAAAAACCTGCTTAGAATGCAGTGATTCTTTTTTGAGGTCTCATGATGTAATTATTGCTTTGGATACAAAACTTGAAATTAACATTTTGCCCTTTAAAAGTTTAGCGATTTTGTGTTGTTGGATTGTTTCTGTGACTGTTACCATTCTTTACAGTGGGGAGAGGATCAAACATATGATGTTCTGCTTTCTATATTCAGTAACAAAATTGGGTTTTATTTCTTTTTGAGAAGATTGGGCTTTTTGTACAATGACCAAGGTGCAGAATTTTTATGTGAGGTAGCCTCTCAGGACAAACAAACTGAAGAACCCAACACATCATGAATAAACATCGTGATATTTGTGAATAATACAGTGACTAAACTTTTAGACCATACTGGCCTAACATATGTTTTCTTTTTGGATTAAAGGGTGGAGGATTTTGTGCTGTAGTTGTATTAAAATTCTTCAACGCCTACATTTTAACTGATGTAAAGCAGTGCCGAATTACTGATTTAAGTTTCAGGCCTCAGCTTGTATATTTTAAGAAGCCTGTAAAAATGGCCACGTGATTTCCATTTACCCTATTTTATGTTCTGTAGCAAATTTTAGAGATTACAAGAAAAATGGCTCATAAGAGGCATATCCTGAACAAGGATTACTCTAGCATACCAGTTTATGTCGTATCCTCTTGCACATGCCTGGAAGCTGCTCGCTGTCTTTGCAGTCTCAGCAGTAACACTCATAAAATATCCAAGGACTTCAACCAAAGTAGAAATTGTAGTTTGTAGGTCATAGACTTATATTTCTGTATGTATTCAAACTGTTAATGATCATTCTCAACAAAAAACCCCAATTTTTCTGAGACAAAATGAAAATCCTTTTAAAGTGGTGCTGTTTTAACTAAGTAAAAAATCTTTGGTGGAATGAGTTATATATTTCAAGTGAATTAGCTAGGAAGCTTGCTTTACTAACAGATTTTATAAAAAGTAACAGCTAATATAGCTTCTGTCTAGTAATCTGGGAAAACCATAAGAAGGATTTTGCTTCTTGGTATGTCATTGCTTTACGAGTCAAATGCTACAGTGTGTTACCTTCTCCTGTGAGTTATCTCAGTGGCCCAGGACTCCATGCCAAGGAAGCAAGCAGATACAGAATGGTGTTACTATTAGTGTGTGTACATTTTAAAAATAAAATATTTAAGTTTTGTTTTGTTCTGACAGACTCTACAGTTATTTGATAACTTGATGTATGAATTATCCAGTGAGGCCAAAGGATTAACCAGCCAGAACACTGAGTTATGCAGTACTGTAAGGAATCTTTTACAGGCAAGTCCCAAGAAATAAGCTGTCAAAGGAACGCTTATATTATTCTTTGATTTTACCTAAAAAATTAAGAAGGTTTTAGAATGTCTCCGTTAGCTACTAACCAGCTGGTTAAAGTGTAATTTGAACTTCCTTTGCAGTTGAAGCTCAATTAAAATTTTGTGAATTATTTGATTATGTTTAGTGTGTGATGCTAATCCGAATTTAAAATAATCTCAAATTCTCTAACTCAAATGGAACATGATTCTCCATAGTTAAAGAGTGAATCTGGCACCTATTTAATACAGTCACTTAATTCGGAGTTTTAAAATTTTTTGTAAATTGAAAACAGTAGTCAAAAGAAATATGAAACTTTTCAAAGAGTATATGTTATCGGAGAAAAGGTCTGGAATTGCTTGATATTATTTTGTGGAGCTTCACTCATCTTTAAGAAACTACTTATTTATGCAAATAGTGAAGCTTAAATGCCATAAAAATCTAGGTGCAGTTCAGCTACGAAAAGATGCTTTTGAAATTATTGCAGGAGTGAAAAACATTGATTGCTGTTGTTTATTCTTGCTTAAGACTATGGTGCAACTGTTGGAAACTCTGACCGGTTGTGTACGATACGTCTGCACGCTGCAAGAGTGTGTGCCTCTGGAGAGTATCCGCACCCTTCCATCCTCAGTTCTTTATGTAATAAAGAACACGTTTACACACTGCAAGGTGGGTCTGTGTTAGGAGGAGAAAAATATTCTTTGGCTTTTAGGAAACACTTCGTAAGAAGATCCTATTTTGAAATAATATTGTTGTCAGTTTATTATTGTTTTAATTTAAATTTAGTTGTTAAATAGTTTACAGAATGTACTTAGCGCACTGAGGAGAAGGATGATTTTTCAGCTCTCTGTCCAGCAAATCTGACCTGCTAGTGAGAGACCCAGACTGTGCTGTTTTCATATTTTGCATCAATGTCAGTTGAACATTTTGCTTACGAATGTAGGCTCTCTGGCATCTGTGCACTTCTGATAGCTGTAATATTTTGAGAGCTACAGATGGTTGCCAAAATGGTGCCGCTTACCTTATTTCTATGCAAGTTCCAAATCAGATTGAAAGTTGTGATAGGGTCTTTACATTGGTTACGATGAGTAACGTATACCCGTTTCAGAGCTGCATTTCCAGATGCAACACTAATTCCCTCTATAGCAGTGAAAATAAAACAAGGTGATCATAAGGACATGAACAGCTTTTGGCTGACCTTCATTTTCAGCCGTTTTCCATGTCAGGGCTTGAACTCAAGTGCCGTACCTTTATTTAACAATTCTGATTTGAAAGTATTGGGAAATACATGGACTGCTATTTCTTTTGTTGCTAACCTTGTACTGTTCTGTTCAGAAATACAATCTCAGGTTCATGCATCAAGGCCTAATTCAAAGCCCACTAAACTCACTAGAACCAGGCAGACTTCATTAGTTGTTGATGAGGCTGCAGGTGAATAGCATTTTATGTTTAGTGAACAGGGGTTGGTAACAGAAGCTATAGATGGCTGCGTATTGAGCTGAAAGTAGGTACGCATATGCCTTGTTCTTTTTCCTAGTGAAATGTATGACAAAGCTCTGTGGTTTCAGTGTGTGAAAAATCAGGCTGTGATTCCTGATGTTTTATTTTTTAAACCTCTTTTTCCCTGTTTCCTACAGGACAGTGAATCGGTGTACTGTGGGCATCTGCACTTGATTTCTGACCTCCTACAAGCTATGTTCAAGGAAACTTACTCTCTTCAGAAGCAGCTGATGGAACTACTTGATGTGATTTCCATGGGCTCTGCTTCTACTGAAGATAACATCACAGATATGGTGTCAGGTATAAGTGGGTCTAACTTTTAGGCTTACTCAGCCTTTTTTTCTATAGAGAGTATGTCTGAATTTTTAAAATGGGGTCCTGACCAGTCTTTCAGAAAGCAGCATTTTGAAGCTTGAAATATTTCCATTTTTCTCCTGAAACTTTCTGTGTGGGATGGGGCACATTGTGTAGTTTTGTAGGAAAGGGGCAGCACCTAGGCGCTGAGCCATTTTCCTGATTCGGTGTCAATGTGGTGGTATTTTCTTAGTGCTTGTGGTTGCTGAGGTTTTCCTAGGAGAGAAGCATAGCTGTAAACTCATGAATCTGATTTAACTTGGTGGTTGCTGTTATTATTTTCTCCTTAGTAATCCACACTGTGCTGGAGATATGCTTTGTTATTTCCAATATGGACCATGCTCTTCATGCCAATACTTGGAAGTTCATAATCAAGTATGTCATTGAACTTTTGGAGTTTTATTGTAATATAAACAGACTATAATTTTAAATAACCAGTGTTTCAATAGCTTTATATTCAGAGTTTCAAATAAAATTGAAATTAGAAAATTCAGTTTAGCTATTTAGCTAGTAAGAAAATTTAGAAATTTATTTTAAAATGTAGCTAGTAAGTAATATTAAAGGCACTGTCAGTGAAGACAGTTAGGAATCGTATGTGAAAAAGTAATAGAACCTTGACTTTTTGCATTACTATACAGAACAAAATTTGAAACACCCTTGTCTGAATAAATAATCCTAAGAAGTCTGACCTGCAGTTTTGTAGGTGCTTTTGGCTTGAGCTGTGCTGTCTTTCGCTTTCATCCTGCCTCTCCTCTGTGTTTCAGTTACGGCTATGAAGAGGGTTGTTCTCTCTGAATTTCTGGTTTCACTGTACGCAGATATTGCACAAATTAGCCTAAATAGAAGAATTAGTTATTTGGATTTGTACGAACTCATTGCATGATCATTTTGGACAATTAAACACCTGATTATGTTCCTATCTGTTAGGCAAAGCCTGAAGCACCATTCTCTGCTGCAGTGCCATCTGAAGCACAGTGACATCCTCAGTGGCCTCTGCAAGGACACTCTTTTTTCTTTTCACTCCTGCTTGCAACTGGCTGAGCAAATGAAGATGTCAGAGATACAGGTGAACTTAAAAGCTCCCAAAGCTGCCCTTGAACTTGAGGAGGATAAATTATTTGTGCTGTATTATTGCTTGGAGAGATTTGGGTTTGGTATTTTGGGCTTTTTTGGGTTTTGTTTTGGTGTTTTTGGTTTGGTTTTTTTTTTTTTTTTTTTTTTTTTTTTACTTCATGTGGTACGCAGAATACCGTGTTCTTTTGAAACCACGTGAAAATGAGGCCCATAACTTTGTTTAGATTGGGGATGTTTTAGTGAGGTGCTTAAAATAAGTTTCCACCATACTCTGTGGGAATTTTTTTTATTTTCTAAACTGACGATATCCCAAGGTCAATCAAAAGATAACATTTCAATTCTGAATATTGCTATAAAAGCGTTGAGGCATACTGAAGATTAGGCATACTGAAAATTTCTAAAGTATTTCCCCCATAGCTGCAGAGTCTGGAGAGAATCAAGTTTGAAATAGGTTTTGAATGTTGTTAGCAATCTAACTTTCTTTTTTATTGTATTACTCTGTATATTAAGTTTTTGAATTGCTTTTTTTGGATAGGAGGGCACTGACCTCAGGCTGTTCCAGAAGACAGTCAAACTGTGCAGGTTCTTTGCTAATTCCCTTGTACACTACACCAAGGTAGGTTTTGATACTTGAGTTTTATGTTAGTATTAAATTTAAGCCTCTGGTCTGCAAATGGGATAATTTTGTACTGCATAACATCTTAACAATTTATAACTATACCATATGGGTGGTATAATTAACATCTGTGCATAACCTGCTTGTAGTTCTTCCGCCTGTATATACTCACAAGCCTAAGCAGGATTACTGCTGTGATTTAACAGAGAACCAAACAAGAATAATAAGCTGTTACAAGCAATGTTACTGAGGAGTTGGTAGTAGGTAGCCAGGCCTTACAGGCAGCCTTGAGGCAATGCAACAGTAGCTTTATCTGGAAGAATTAGGCAGATTAAAGCTCTCGCTAAGTTTTCAGAATTGTTGCTCATTTCAACAATTGAAAACAATGTGCCATTAATAAGAAGAAATGCCAGCGTACTGTTACTCGCTCTGACACTAACTTCCTGCTCTTTTCCTGGCCCTTTCACTTTGTTGCTGTGCTTTATTTTTCTTAGAAGACATGCTGTGAATCTACCCATTTTAAGAATGCATGTGAAAAAATTTTGCTCTCTATGAACAGCAATGATGGTGCATTCTGCATCTGTTTTGTCCTATGGGGTAAAAGCAGGGGAGTGATTTTTTTTTTTTTTTTTTTTTTTTTGCACAGAGTAAATAGCATTTTTAAAAGATATGCCTACTAGGAATAAGGAAAAAGGAAAAGTCCCCATGGGATGGAAGACTGGTAGCTTGTTGGAGATGATAGGTACACGGACGTGTGCTAAAGACTGTAAGGGTACTAATTTTTTTTTTTTTTTTGCACAGAGTAAATAGCATTGTGACAGGATAAAACAGCCTTACAGATGTATGAGAGCACTTCAGGTTTTTGCAGCTCTCTATGGCTGTTACAACTGTACTTACTCATTTTTTTTAAATAAGCCTATAAATGTAGTTGTTTTACCTACAATATATACATGTAGGTTAATTAAATATTAGGAATACTTTGTTTATTGTTTGCTTTGCACTTGCCTTGTGCTGTGGATTGTTGGAACTTAACCAATTTTTGCAGTATAGTACTTTACACATCAATACAGCAGAACAGAAAGTGTATTTGATCATGTATTTTATGTTAAAAGTACCATTCACAATTAATGGCTTTTGCAGGAATTTCTTTCCTTCTTCTCTGATTCGTGCTCTCAGTTACATCAGCTCTTTCTTCAGATATACAGGTAAGTGAAGTACAAATAAGTGATAATTGATGGTATCTTAATAACATCTTCATATTATATTCTTAAAGTTGTAGGTTTTTGAGATATAAAAATACAGATCTCATTCCAGAGTTGTTCCTTTCTTTTTTCATGTACAGAGATCTAAAAAAAAAATGTTTTTAAGAAATTGTAAATTTTTGCATGGTACAGGTTACCTTAAACCCATTCTTGATCAGCACTCTGCGTGCTTGGTATTGACAAGCCACTAACTTTGCTGCAATTGATTATGTCAACATTTCTTAACAGGTTACGTGCAGAATATGCAGATTGATTGTCCTGGACGCAATTTCATTTGAAAATTCTTGTTCCTAAAGTCAAAATTCCTGAGGGTAGGATTCACCCTTCGGTCACCTCACAGTGAAGCAGTTAGGCAGAGCTAAAACAGAGCAAGCCAGCAGTGTACCTTCCGCTTTGAAACAAATGGTAGCATGATGTTAGTCAAATCATGCAAATTCAAGGCAATTCAGAATTCCCATTCTCTAGTAATCATAATTCCTTTCTGTTTCATATGTAACGAAACAGCCACGCTACTCTTTTTTTTCCGTCTCAAATTCTAGTGGAAGAAAAAACACAAGACTAAATGCAGGTGTCTGCAGCAACAATTTGACACACTGTTTCAACTTCAAGACGAAGTATGGAAACATTTGTCCTGAAGGGAGAGAGGATCAGAAACAGAGTATCTGGAAATTTTTCATAGCTTTACTGTTGTGTTTATAATCTTGTGAAATCTCACAACAGGACTGACTGGTTCTCCTGGAAGCAAATGCTTTTTTAGTATTATGCTCATAAAGCATAGCAGACTGCAAGCGGCTTATTTTTCTTTCAAAATTATTATTCTATTTGCTGCGGTGATGGGGAAGAATAGGGGAAAGTGGACTTTATAATAGAGGGCTGATTTCAGTCATTCTTTTGGAATTAAAACCAGGTTCTGTGGTGAGATACACGCATGAGTTCACTGCATGTTTCACTGCAAGGTCGGGTCGATATTTTTTTATGAGCTTCATTTTCTAACTTTATTTACCTTGTAGATCTTTCTCAGGTGGAAGGTTGTAAACTTTTATTCACTCAGCAAAACTGAACAGGGTTTTTCAGTAGGAAGGTAGCATTTTTACAGTCACTTTATAAGCTGCAAGAGAAGGTTTTCATTTCATGATCTCTTTTGCTTTATTCTCATATCACTTCTTTTTTTCTTTTATTGCCCAGGTTTTTTTTTTTTCCCTCTTCAAAGAAATTGTGGTACCCTTTTATTAGTGTCATGTGCTAAATCAGCGCTGTCACATTGATGACTGTCAGGTTGTGTCTACAGGTGTTTTCTTGACTTTTTTTATGATTCAGTGTATTTCTTCTTATATATGTTAGGTATTTTCCATGAGCTTATCAGGTTTTCTTTCAACGTTCAGTAAAATATTGGATTGTGATGCTTGGTTTAAAGGCTGAATATAGAGTTGTAACTCTCAAGCTATAATAGATATTCGAAAATGGGGAGCCTTTTCTTTTTTTTATTTCACAATAAGAAAGAAATCATGAAATTGCCTTTTTTTAAGTTCTTTTGAAAAGTAATATTACTGAAAATGCTACTGAGAATATTTAACTTTTTTTTTTTTTTTTTTTTTTTTCTTCCCCTCTCAGCAAATTTCCTCCCAGTCTTTATGCTCCAGAGATCTCGGAAGTTCATCAGGATGAAATATCCCGGGTTTTTCTTGTGGCTCTGGAGCCTTTCCTCAACCAGCTTCTTCCCTTTCGCCCTTTTATGGAGCAAGTGTTAAGTGATAAGTTAGGTGGGTTTAAAATACTATGTAAGCATCTCTAAGGGACCAGGATTGATATTTTGACTTTCAGGACCACGAGCAGTATTCTGTACTGGTTTGCTTGCCTCTAATTCTTTTGTAAGTACTGTGGTATAGCCAGTTGCGTGTTAACTCAGATGACTTTTGTAACAGATAGCTCATGTTGCTGTTGAATGCATCTTTTCCAAAGTATTCACAGTAACTTCAATATTAATCTGGTTAACAGAAATCCTATAAATTCTGCTGGTTTGCACAATTTCAATCCACATTTGTCCCACACTTTCAAAGTAGGCTGAAATTTTTCTGCTCTTCTGTTGGTGGGGGAAGACAGCTATCCTTCCTTAATGAATTATTTTCTGTGGAAAGTAGAATGCCTTGAAACTGAAAAATGCTCAGCTTTTTGTCATTTCTGCCCTGACCAACATGTCATAATTCTGAGACAGCTATGCTACCACTTGGGAGATATGGTGTGAGCATCAGTTGCTGCTTTCCTCTCTGTAGGCTGGTCTGTCTTCTCTCCCACATGTGCACTCTGTCCTTGTGATTATCCTGACACACTTAAAAGAAAACTGTGTTTTCAGTGTTGGAGGCATCCAGTGCTTTCAGGGAGATTGGAAGCATGAGGCACCCAGGTTGTAACTCCTTTGCAGCATGTTGCAGTGACAGTTCAGAACTGGACTATTTTATTTAGCTTTCATCTGAAATAGTATATTGCATTTATTTTTCACTTCAAACTTAATGTTCGCGACGAAATGTTCCTTTTTTTTTGTTTTCCAGCTGTGTATATTAGTGATTTTTTTGATTGTTTTACTGGGAGCTCTTATGTTTCACCAGTTGTTCATCGCTTGTCACTTGCTTAAAAGCCAGTTTATGCACATGTTATATTTATCAGGGCAACTAGCATCATATTTATAAAAAAACTTCTACAGGTCTCCCGCTTGAGCAGCAGCTGCCTCAGTGTCTCGTCCTGATTACCATAATGGACAAGCTGTCCTCTCAGCCTGAAGAAGTGCAAACTCTCTGGATCACAGGAAACAGGTACTAAAAAGATTTTCGCCCTAATTCTTCACCACAGTGGTTAGTCTCTATGGGCAAACAGAGGGACTCAGTTGCTGGGGTTTCCCTTGCAACCAAATAGCAAAATTTGTCAGACTCTATAGATTTACATCCTTAGGTTGAGAAAAACAGGATTTGATGTTCAGTGCTTCAGGATTGAAGGATACAGAGCCAGAGGTGTCTTTGTTTTTCCAGGAAAGGAACTGTATTTAGACTACTTCCAGGATAAGGAGAGAGATGTGTGTAGAATTTATTGGCACTTCACCAAATCTTGCATTTTTTATGCCTGGACCCTCTAATAATCATCTGAATTTGTAAAAGAGGAAGGTAGTCAGGAAGGTAAATCTAGTGTAAAAGCACTGAAATTATTGCCGTTGTTTCCGGTCAGAGACAATGATTCTGTAGTACAGATGTTGTTTGCAGCATTTGGGATTTGCATATCTGTAACCCAACTGGTTTGGTTTTTTTTTTACCCTTGCAGCCTGTCTTTGTTTTCAGCTCTCTTCTCCAGTTTCCAGCAGTGTTCTGGCGAGCTTTCTCTCCCTGTTTGTTTGCCAGAGGTGATCAGTACAGGACAGCCAGCAGTTCCCATCACCCTGTATCACTATGTCTGTGTCCACCTGTGCTCCTTCATTGCTTCCACACTCCCATCACACTTTCCTCAGCTGGTAAGATTGGTTTTTGCTTATCGCCTCTTCAGCTGTTGCATAGGTACTCTTTAAAAAAGCATGAGTTCTTTCTAATGATGTAGATCTGAAGAGATTCTTAGGTATGAAGTGGTTCTGTAGAAAGCAGCCATGATACAGTTACGTGACTGGAGTTCAGTTATAGTCACTTGTGGGAATGGAGCAAGTAAAGCTTCATACAAGTTCTTGAGAACCTCAGTGGTTGGAAATTTTTGTTCTCTTTGGAAGGGGGGGAGGTCAAGTTGTTATAACAAGTTCAGTGCTTTCTTTTATGCCGTATTCAACTTGTATTACATTTACCTGGTTTTGTTAGTCTATACTGTGAAGTAATAAAGTGCATTTAATATTTAGAGTAGATAATATTGTGATTCCAGCTAGGAACATACCATAAAATAGTAATAAGCAAAATTTTCTACTTCAGAGGAGTATTCTGGGCTTTGATTAATGTTGCATAATGTTTTAAAAGTTTCTCACTTTTTACTGCATGTAGACAAAAGAACCTCTAGATAAATGTAAAACTTCATAAAGTTAAAAGCAGTCATAAAAATTAAAGCCCTAATTTAGGGTGTTTTTCCTGAATGCTACACTTTTCTTTCACATAAAAGTTGTCTTTCTAAAAGAGGAAAAGGTTTTATTTGTTTTTTCAGTAAGATGCCAGTAAAGCTGGCAAGAAAATTGGCAATGCATTGGTTTTATGAAAATTTGGGCTTTTTTTAAAGTTGCCTTGCGAAGAAGGGTTGCGCATGATGAAAGACTTTGAAAAGTGAAGGATCCTTGGCCCATTGAAATGAATGTACACGTACATTCAAAGTACGCAAAAGGTGTAGCTGCTTGCTTGATGGTGTAGCTGAATACAGACTATGAAAATGAGCTCTCAAAACATTTTAAATTCGATAAGCTGAAAATTGTATTGGGTTCTATGCTAATTAGTGGAGTAAAGGTAATAGTGGGTCTGCAATCTGTTTCTGTGTGAATTTACATGTATTTCTCCTCAGGAGTATGCTCTGCTGGATGCTGTGCTGGGTGCTAGTATGATCACATCTCTGCTAGCAATGGACTCATGGTGCTTCCTTGCCCGGTAAGGTGTTTTTATTACAGGTCAAGCAGGATTTCTGTGGATCCAGTTAGTTCCATTGTTGTACATTATTCCTTGAGTGAGATTTTTTTTTTTAAGACAAAATTGTCCCAGAATTACATTCTTTTCAGCTATAGAGTGTATTTTGAAAATTAGGAGCAGAAATGGCTTAGCCATTTTTATATTCATGCAAGTAAGGGGAACATACCTTTTCTATTACTTAATAATTGTTTTTTGGAATGGTTCTCTCAAGTAAATTTGTTTCTGTGCATATCAAGTTTAAATATATTAGAGGAAATGGCCATCTCTCAGACAAGATTTATAGTACTTAGTCTGTAAAAGAGTAGGAATTACAGACTCACAAGCTTCTCTCTCCCTCATGTTCCAGGTATGGAACAGCTGAACTGTGCGCTCACCACGTTGTTGTGATTGCTCACTTGGTAAGAAGCACAGCAATGTTTGCAATTCAGCACCAGTTTTAATCCTCATTCTACTGGCAGACTTTCTAAATGGCTAAAGATAGGAGTTTCATCTTTTTCCAAATGCAAAATTGAGGTTGTTTTAATTCCTCAAATTGGGTTAATAATTAGCAAAAACAGTACTTTGAAAATGTAAAGCAACATGCCTAGTATTTCCAACATGCCCTGTATTGTTTTATGTAGTGCTACTGCTGTGATCCCACATAACTCTCAGAATATTCTGTACAGAATTAATTTGCCGAGTGGTGATTTTTTTTTAATTTAATTAGATGCATTCCCTGCTTTCTGAATTCAGATAAAGTCTTGGCCCAGTGACTGTTACCAAGTCTCTGCCTTGGGTGTTCTGCTGAGGCGTATGCTGTTCTTGATGGCTCCAGATCATCAGGCAAGTACAGTACCAGCACCTTCTGTCTTTCAATAGATTTCAGTAAGTAGCTTGTGTTAAAATATCTTCTTTCAGTTCTTCAGAAATAGCAGGATGTTGAGTGTTCGCTTGCTGTACTTGATGTTATTTTGTCACAGTGGATCCTAATTTGTGCAGATGTGCTCTTTAATAAGAACAACAAAGGTGCGTATACCTTTCTGAGAGCAGCCTTACTGGGTGGCAATGAAGTCCTTTTGTGACTAAGTACGAGAAAAAGCACATCTCCCAGGCTTGCTGAAACTGTATGTCCTGTCATTGCAACCGTGACTGGTGTTCATGAGTGCTCTCGCGTTATCAGATATGACAAGCAATATCCTTTCCTGTCAGTGCCTCTCTGTACACTTCAGAGAGGCTAACGCTTGCTCTTCTGCTTGCTAGGGCCATCTCTTCAAGCAGCTGAAGTTGCTTAGTCTTTCTGATGTCCTGTATGTGAAAAGGGAGGTGGCAGATTTTATATAAAAACTTGGATTTTATTTAAACAAAAGGGTTTACATCTTTTTTTTCAGGTAATATTTCTGAAACAAGCTAGTAGCATATTTTGAGTTCTCAGCTTTCTGGCAGGTTATCGAATTGTCTTCTAGTCTGTTTAGTTCTTCTTAACTCTTGTTTGCAGGTAGAATTTGCTCATAAGTTTATTCCAGAAGAGGAGGAGAACTTGGCTGTGTGGCAGCACGTATCCCTCAAGGCCCTGAATCCTGAGCTTAGGAAACGAGTGGCGTGTCAGCTCTGTGTGGCAGGGCTTGCACAGTGCAGGCGATGGCTGAATAGCAGACGTGCTTTGGGAGAGCTCCGACCTGTGGTAAAGGAGACTTAGTTCTTTTTGTAGAAATACGTGAACTCTGGATTTCCGAACTGGAAGGATTCTGTTGCTGTCACCTCAAGTCTGTTTCTCTGTGTGATGCACACCTGTTTTCCATGCCTGGCAAATGCATGAGCAGGAATTCTCATTTTAATATTGCCTTCTAGTACATAGCACCTTAGGACCCTCTATTCTGAGGGTGATGGCAGCGGAGGTCATGTTGTTTATTAGTTATTCTAGTTGTTGTTTGCTCTCTGGGTGAGCAGGTGTATCTCTCTTTAGAATTTCTGATTTATACTATGTCATACAATTATTTTTAAGTTTTAAAATCCTGTCTGTTTTTATGTGGCGTCAAATGTGAAAAGATGCTCACTGGTCTCCTTGGCGAAGGAGAGGAGTGTGAGAAACCAGCGACTTTCACATGAAGTATCTGCTGCCAGCTTTTGCCTGCCAGTGCAGCTAATGACCACAGCGCCGTGTGAAGCTCACAGAAGTAACGGATGGTTTCCTCGCTTTGGAAGCTTTATTGGCCGGTGGCCTGGTGGATTAGCTGTACTGTACCGCTGACACAGCACACTGGGCTTCTTGCCATCTTGTATCATTTTAGATGTTTAATATGAGCCTGGGGTTTTGTTTCATTTTCTGTGTCGGGTTTTTTTTGGTCTTACCTTATACATTTTTTTTCCTACTAGAATACTGCCCTTTCTGTCCTGCTGGCTGCCTACAATTTTGCAGGTGACACTCTGGAGGCAGAACTTCAGGCATCTATCTTGGGAGTGCTCGGTCAGTTCTGGACTTTTCTCCAGGCTAAGCAGGTAAGGGAATTTGCTGCTCCAATGGTGAAAGCACGATGCATTTCAGAGGCTTGTGCTGTTTCATCATATGTTTGTTACTAAGCTGTTTTACTTGGATTGGACCATTTCTGTAAAGCACAGCATAACTGTGCTGCCCATCTGCTGTCAGCTGGTTTATGTATTAGGCAGGCATGCGCTCTGGGAAGCGGACTGTGAATTTCCTGAATGTTACATATATGGCTCCTTGCTACTCCATCTGTTATCCAGTGTCAGATTCAGGCTTGCTTAATGAGAAGTCTGAAATGCCTCATTCTGATTCATACCAGTTACAAATTTGGCCTGTTTAAAATGTTAGAATGTGAACAAAAGTCGTTGGTGATTTAATTAGTACGTAGCTTAGCACACAAAAACCCATAGAGCTAGTAACCTTCCTCCCATATTTGAGAACAAGGCGATTCCTTTGCGACTGTATACCTGTTCATGTCTGCAATTGCAGTGAAGAAAAAAGGACTGTCATGGTTCATACTCTGGATAAAAAAGGAATGTTTGGGAGTGAGGGTGAAGAAGAGCCAACAATGCGCCCCTTCAGAGGTCTCTTCCAACCTCAGCCGTTCTATGAAGACATGTGGCAACTGATAAGTGAAAAGAAATACTTCAGATAACCCTTTGCTGCTTATATTAGGGAGTGGAGGAAGGAGATGGGGGATAAGAAATATTAATAAAAATCAAAGAAATATTGGTGTGACTTTAATATCTTCTGCTGCTGCTCACAATGAGTGTGAGTTAGGCTAAGAATTTTGGAACACTACTGTAACTTTAAATTCTTTCTTAAGTAGTTACTCCATGAGCTAAAATGCAATGTTACACATATCTTGTGATTTGTTGAAGGTCTTGGATGAGCCATGTCTCCAGCAGACATTGTGTTTATTACTTCACCTTCTGGAATTTTTCATCCAAGCATTAGATGCTCAGCTGATTACTCAGGTAAAAAAACCCCAAATGAACAAAAAAGAAACCCAACCAAAAAAACAAAGCAAAACCTTCTTATGAATAAATTACTTCATGAAAACCAAGTTCTCTGTGATTTACTGAAATCTCAAATGAGTTATTTCATGGTCTGGCCTTCTCAACACATGGAGGTTCCAGATTTTATTTCTTCCTTGATGACTTTCCTGGTCTTTAAACTAAGTATATGGAACTTTGGTTAATGTTGCTTTTGAGAATCCCATTACTCTGTAAGATAATTGAGAGCTATGGATATGCTCTAGAGCATGCTTCTTTCTTTCTAAAATGCACACTGCAGCTTTATCCTAGCCAGTTGTACCGCATTCAAGCTGTAGTGCACCTCCTGTTGGTTTCAGTCCAGCTCTCCAAAATCAATGTCCTCAGATTTAAAGATGATACAGAATTGTTTCCACCTGCAGTCTGTTTCATGGAGCTTTCCTGGGGTTTGTTTTCTGCAGGTATTTGCACTGCAGTCTTCCCTTTTCCAGCTGGATCCCCCAGATCATGTTCGTCTAGCGATGGTGGATTTTCTCTCTTCTATGGGAAAGGTGTTTATACCACAGGAAGCACAGGTAAATATAATTTTGGCTTTATTTAGATAATCTTCAGTCTTTTGATGAAAATATATGCTACTTATTTAAATATAAAGGATCAAGTTCATCAAATACATATAGGAGTGCTATGATGTAGTCATCTTGGAGGCTTACTAATGGTCTATGGCAGTTTTATTTTTCATTGAGACATGCTGAGCGCACGTAAGATACTTGGTTTATTCATCTGCTTGTTGCTTCTCACCAGTTAGAAAGGACTGACACTTGAGCCTCCAAGAAAAACTAACATGTTGCCTCCCTTACAGTGTTTTTTTTTGCCAGACAGGGCAGTAGCACGCTTGTGTTTCACAAACCTGTCCCTTGACCTTAGAGCGATTCTTTAATAGTAAATCATAATGGGAAGCTAACTCTTTGGAACTGATAGGTATTTGTTCCTCTTTCAGAGGCAAGTTGTACCCCAGTTGTCCTGTTTGTTTGCTTCTCTGCTAGCGGACCAGACCTGGCTGATTCATCAGCATGCGTTGGAGGCATTCACGCATTTTGCAGAGGTAGGCACAGCAGAACTCTGGATGTTGTGCATTTGGCTCTGTTAACTTTTATCGTACAGAAATTCTTCCATCTTAAATGTTTGCTGCTCTTCGCTGACCAGATTGTATTGGAGTATTACAGATGCTATTGCACATCAAAAGTAATGAGGGCTAATGCAGTTACAAGTGATTTCAGAAGCTGGAAGTGAATGAAAATTAAGCATAGTTTGCAACAAGGAAGGGATTGTCACAGAAACATTTCTTACTTTGTCTATTCCTGTGTTAATATGAATGTACTAAGCAACTCTTACTCAATGTTTTTGACAGGAAACAAGCCATGAAGATACTGTTCCTCAGTGCCTTAATTCTGAAGAAACTAAGAACAAAGTTGTTACCTTTCTGGCTAAGGTATGTGGTGGAACCATTTTACTGCTTTCTTAGTTGATGATGTACACATCCATAATATGCTGTCAATGTCTATACCTGCATCATCTACATGGCAATTAAATAAGTTTAAAATAAATTGTTCTGTTAACTGGAATCTGGTTGAACTTTTCTACTTGCTTTAATCAGCAGCATTAACAACTGCTATTCCTATGCACGCTCCTCTTCCAGTACTTCCCAACTTTGATTTAAATGTTTTGCTTTTCCCTTCTTGAACAACAACAAAAGATTAAATTGCACAGTTGCTGTTGTAAGCAGAGAATCTATTAAAAAGACAGGGATTTCATCATTCCATTTGTGTGATTTCCTTCCCGTTTCTCTTGGCTCAGTTTCTGAAAGTTAAATGAACATGTATGAAACATCTCAGTCCTTTTGGCATGTTAGAAAAAATTCTCTTAAGAGCAGATGTCTATTCATTCAGAATACAGACAGCGGGAAAGAGGAGGTGGTTGTCATGCTGTAACCTAAGGCAGGGCGACCTGGATGAGCAGTTCTTGACAAGCAGATATTGGCAACGGAACTGATAGCTGCCAGTGATGCTACACCAAAGTTGTTGTAGGTAACTTCAGTCTTCTGAGCAGGAGAGTTTGTGGGAAATTACTCAACTGAACTGCATGTTAAGATCTCTCCCTCCTTCCCCCTTGTTCTGGCATACAAATAAAGGTTGTAATGCCACCTTGCCTTAGTTACCTCTCCTGTGGCTTTCTCCCTAGGCGAGGCAAGTAGAAGAGACAACAGAAGCACGAACAGAACGCATGAAACAAGAAGGGATTACCTGCAGTGCACAGTTTATGAGAATGGCAGGAGAACAGGAGTCAGCAGGAGAGGTACGTGTACTACTTTAAACTATCTGGGCTCTGTTGTCAGTTTCTGTCAGTTCTGGGAAGCATCTAATGAGGTTCAAGGTGGTCTTGCTGCCCTCTGTGTTCTAAGAAGAGAACTCTTTACAAGGCAAGGGAATCTCTTTAAAGCTCTTTGCCATCAAAGGGTTTTCTTGTGTTTGAATGAAGACTGATCACTTACATAGAGCATTATAAATGATGTCTCATGTTTACTTAAATCTGCAGCCTCTGGCAAAAAGAGCGTGTCGCCCACCCTCTGAGGAGCAGTTTAAGTCAGCAGTAGGCATGATGGAGGGGGCAGTGGAGGCTGTGAAGCTGCTGCTCGGGAAAGGGTCACCCCCTGCTTGGCTTGCAGTGAAACTGGAGGCTCTACATACAGCGATAGCCATCCTCAGAGACAGCGTACGGTAAGGTGCACAGCAGGTCTTAGAGGCAGTAACACACACAGCTCAGCTCCCTGTTCTGAGGGAAGAGATGCCTTTACCACAATTGCTGGAGAAGAAGAAACTGTGATGCAGGGTGATGCTCCACTATACTGCTGGGTCTTGGTTAATGTTCCAAAATGAACCAAGGCATGAGAGGTTGGCCTGTCTTTCATAATAACTGGCTGGAAGGACTGATCTATTTTAACGGACACTATTGTGCATCTGAGCTGTCATTTTGTATATCGCCCACGTATAGCTTGGTCTTCTAAGCCTTTGTATGATGATAAACATTCCATGAGATTGTATTTTGGATATGTATAGCTTGGTCTTCTAAGCCTTTGTATGATAAACATTCCATGAGATTGTATTTTGGATACTAAGCTGTTTGAATCTTTGTAAAAGTAACAGTTACCTTTGTTCCTGTCATGTACAGGTGACCAGGCAGTAGGTGTTTTTATTTCAATTTTAAAATACACTCAAGAATAACAAATTAAGCCTCTACACTGTTCTCTGAACATACCTCTGCTGCTGGTCCCACTCCATGCTAGCGTCATCTTTTTAAAATAATCTTTATTGGTCGCAGTTAAGAGCAGAAAGAATGTGGCGCTTAAGCAGTTTGTGTTCAGTGGTCCTTCACTGCATGGTTTCTAGCACCTCTTGTGCCATCCACTGACAGAACTATAAACAGAAATAAATATGTACATTCATCTTAAAATCATCTCTTAGCTGTGGCTCCTTCTACCTTTTTAGCTAAGGGCTTTATTTTTCTGAAAAAAGAAGAAAAAGAAAGAAAAAGGCACACTAACCAAGGAACTCAGTGTGACTTTCATTTATTGTCATCAGTTTTTCAGAGCAGGGATGAGTTCTGGAACAATCGCTTACACCACTCTTGGCCTCCAGTAGCACGTCAGCACCAACACACCTATCACGCTGTTCTTCTTTCCGGTAGCAGTGGCACACACCGCAGCTGGGCGTATTGCTTGAGTGCAGGCCTCACCCCTGCAGGTTTTGGCACGGACTAGAAAGGAGCATCCATTTGCAAGAGATCAGGCCCCACGGGATCTTGCTGGCTGCTGCAGCAAGTGCCTGCCTTCTCGCAAAAGCAGTGCTGAGGTACTTATCCATTGTGTTGGGGAAGCAGCAACTTCTCCTACAGAATCCAACACGCCATAAATTGCCTTTGTCTTTTAAATCCCATTACCAGTTAGTGTCGTCTTCCCAGTTCAACTCCTCTTCTTCACCCCAGCCTGCAGCTTCAGCCTAGAATCACATAAAATTATCAACATTAAGGCACGTGTACTGTACTTGGCACAGCCACAGGAGCCAGGTGGTAGCCTGTGCAGCTTGCCATGGCAGAGCAAGACAGTCACCCAGAATGCCAAAAGCCCCTCGTAAGACCAAAAATGAAGTGCCAGTATTTGCAGCTTTCTGTCTTAAAGAACTTTAACCATGAGAGGAAACCCCTTAAAGACAAAGAACAAAGTAACAGGGAGATTCTTCTATTTTTTTCCTGAAATTAAGGCACAGCCTATTGGTACCAAAACCACTTCCCATTAAGAATAGGATGCTATAAACTAGGTGATTTCTTTACCCCCTAGGAAACAGCTGCAGTCCTGCTGTACTCTGAGTTTGATCTCGCCCATCCAGTGACAGAGCTCTTCTACTACTCCACAGCACTGACTGCACTACAGTGAGCCCCAAATAGGGTTGATACCACGACAGCACTTCTTAAAAATCAAGTATCCTATTTCCAAGTGTTGTAAACAACTTCAGTTTACATCCAAGGCTCCTATCCCCCTGCCACCTCCTACCCCTGTGGTAGCTCTCTTGAGGATGAATTAGCAAAACAACTTGAAATCAACACCTAGAATCCTAACGGAGTTACGTGTTCAGGCAGCAGCGTTGGGAGTGCTACCTCCCCTCCTAGGAAACAGAAGCCATCTCTGTAATGGGGCTAGAGGGATTTACCTGCTTACTTAAAAAGGCAGTTTTATAATGCCCCTGGTTCTCTGAAATGCAGAAATGTCTCAGCCATTCTTTCATGAAAACAAAGCACCCCAAAAGCTTTACAATGCTATTAGGTTTTCCTAGAAGACTCAGGAGCAACGCTGAGTCCTGAGCATCCTCTGTGCTTGAAAGCCCCCTTCTCTTTGTGCACAGGCAGGATCCAGCCTTGTTTGACCTGTCTGACAAACCAAGACCCTCCCTAAGGTAGCATAGGGTCCCTGCATCCAGGATACAGCAGCGCAAATTAAAAGCAGGAGTTAAAACGCCTTAGTCAGTGCCTTTAGCAGCGTATGAGTTAAGTCTGTTCCCTCACTATTTCTTAACACAGCTGTCTTGCTGCTGCAGTAACAGCCCCTGGAATTACCTGGTGCCTGGTAAGATGCACTGTTCAGAGCTCAGCATCTTGTGTTCACAGGTAAAGACTCGACCATGCAGTTGTATGCTGCTGATACCTCCTCAGGTTATCTACCATCTCATTAAGGAGCCAGCTGGTGCTACCACAGGGTGGTGTGCTATGTACATGCTTCAGGGTCCTCTCAAGTGTGCAGTTACTTAAACCCCACTGCTTATAGCCTCTTACCTCAATCACATCAGCTGCTGCAAATTTGGATGAAAACAGCACATTCTGGGAGGCACCTTCTCTGCTGGATACTACACCAGAGTGACTGGCAACAACTGCTTCTGTCCTCGCTTCAGGTAAAATCAAGATAGCTGAAGAAGGTTTAATGTCTGGGATCATGTCAGCAAACCAGTCCAGCTCAGGGTCTTGCACGGGTTTCCTCTTCACTTTGATTGTGAATTCTTCTCCTAGGCCAGACTCTGATGAAGACTTCAACCTTTCCTGAGAGGTCGCTTTTGGCAGCACAGTTTCTCCCAGTTGTTCCTGGTGGTCCCACTTGTCATTGCTCCAGCTGTTCCTGGGGCAAGACTTTGTGGGGGGACTCAATCTGAGGCTTTTGAATTCTTTGCTCAGTTGATGGGTACCTGGCAGAGGCCTCGGCGTTTCAACTGCATCGGCTTGTGTCACAGTGAGGCAGTTTCCTGAGGACAGTTCAGGACTAGGGCTGCTGGGTTCAAAGTCATCCCAAGGCTTCTCATCTACATCGTGTTCAGCAAAATAAGGTCCCGCGCTGCCCCGTGGCTCTCGGGGCTGAATTTGAATGTTCACAGTTTTCTCAGTGTCAGTCTCCTCTGGCTCACTCCAGTCTGGCCACTCCTCTGCTGGCTTTTCAGAGGTAGTCAAAGAGCTCCTGCTGCTCCCTAGCGTATTAATGCTTCCAGGAATTCCATTGAGGGGGGACTGAGTGTCTTGCTCACCTGTGGAAGACAAAGGTGTTACACACTCATTTCAAGAGAGCACGTGTAGAGACAGAGTTGTGCCTAAACCTTGACATTGCAGGTAGCACCTGGCATGGAAATAAGCTGGTAATGCTGACTGGAAAGATGCTTTGGAAAGCACAGCCACGTTCCTGCTTGCAAAGGAGGGGCATTCATCTCAAAGCCCTGGGGCAATAAAAGCTGACTGCTGGTGAGCAATAGGGGACTGAAAAAAGGCCATGAAAGTAAAGTGAGTCAGCTTCTGAGATCAGAGAATGAGCTGGCCTAGAACTCCAGTGTATCTATCTGCCAAGCTGCAGGAGGGGTGAAAAAGCATAGCAGAGAACCTGCCGTAAGGAAACAGAAATCAGATTCCCAAATAACTATCCCCTAGGAAGTCAAGAGTTACACTCTCCTTCCTTCACCGTTACCTTCCTTGATTCACTGTATCTCTTTCAGATCAGCACACAGGGAAAATTAACATCTTTTCCAGCAACATTTCATTTGTGGGACACTCGAATTCTAAAAAGGAAGAGCTAGGGCAAAGTTTTACCTGTCTTTAAAGCCAGGGGATTGTCTTGTCGCACAGAAAACTTCTTAACAGGTACATTTCCGGCAATGGGGAACACACAAGAATTGTTCTTCAACGGCCGAGAGGTTTGATTTCTCTGATTGCTTATGACATGACTGGGAGAGTCTGCAGGGTTAAAAGAAAAAGGACACCAGGTCCACAAGGTGCAGTTGTCAGTCTTTCTTCCAACCCTGCAGGCAGTTTCAACTTTCTTATTTACAACACTGACGAGCAATACTGAATGAAGACTGGCACAGCAATGCAACAGCTGTATACAACACAATACTCCTCTGTTCCTGCCATCTGCAGCTCTTGCCAATACGATGTTTGGGCAACTGCAAATGGTCAGGTTTTGCTACATTCTTTCAAGAAATACACAATGAACAAACTGATTTTGATCTGAACAGATGCTTAAAAAAAACCCAAATGCTGTCTACCACCTGGCTGGATCCAAAATCCCAGCTTCTGTACTGCATGGCATCACAAACCCTGCTCCCTGCCTCTCCTACAACAGCGCAGTGCTGATAGTCACAACAATGCAAAGCATAAGCAAGCTCACATGACTCCACAAACCCTGTTTTTTGCCTGGGCATGAGCAAAACAGGAACAAGAGGCTCTACCCTGAAGGCTGTGTGACAGCATCCCTCGTATCGCACCCGAGGTGAGGTGGGGTGGCAGGCAGTAACAGCTGCGCAAGGCAGGTTTGTTTCCCTGGGCCACTGATGACAGCTTGGCATGCACCAAGTTCTAGTTCATTTCTGGGAGTTGCAGTCTATTGTCAGTGGTGGTGGTGATTCACCAGCACCAGCCCCATTGCTGCCACCCCAGCAGAGCATAGCTTAGCCCAGTGGCCACCTGGCTCAGCTGTGTTCCCAGCCAGCTGCACCTGCCTAGGCCAGGGCTTGCCAACCCAGCCAGAGACCCGTGGCACTGGAAAGGACTGCACGTAACACGCAGAACCCACCCCCTCCCCACAGTGCCCTTGGTAAAAGGTACATCCTTTTAGGGGCTTAAGCAAACTGCTTATTAAGCCTCACATGTTCAGCCTCTAGTACTGTTATTTGCAGGTTGTCACTCACTGTTGAGGACAAAGGTGGGTGTTTTCTTGTTGTTTATCAATAGTTAAATCAGGTCTAATTTCAAATATATCCTGAAAAGTAAACCTGGTTTTAGCATGCAACCCAAAGGGGTTTATTTACCATAGTCTATTCAAATAATGTAAAGCAAAATGATGCAGTGAGCCATCCACAGATTTTAATAAAGGGTGGTAACTGTCAGTACACACATAATCGGGAAGAAAACATTTATAATTGATCTCTATCATGCGTTTCATTTGGTATCTATGTGTCTAAAGTAGAACAAATGCCGATTCTTCCCTCCAGTTACAGGCATTCTTAGTTTGAACATCCAGGAAAGCTTTCCCTTAGCACACTCGGTTCCAAGTTATCTAGCAGGTGCAGGGACTACTGTCTTCATTTGGATTAGCTGAAAAGCCTCCTGAGAGCGGAGAAAATAGGGAAGTTGGTATTCCTTTTCCAATCTATGAATAGAAATTGGGGGAAGAGGATGAGATTTACTGTTTTTAAAAACATGAAGGACAGAGGGAATATTAAAGGACTATCTGGGAAGTACCTAAGTCCTTTAGAAGGGTAACGTAGTTTTTCCTCCAAACACACACGCTTTATCTCCTTTGCTTACAGAGATTCTTAACATGAAAAAGATATTTACAATTTTTTTCCCTCCATATGTTTCCTACATTTAAAATACTTTTATATAACTCCTCTTATTATATCAGTTCTGTATCTGCAAACAGCACCTAATTTAGAATTAAAGTTTAACCGCAAGTCAGCTTTTTTTCCAATTAACCTGTCAACAGCAAAAGATTAATCACCCAAGAAATTTTGCCTGCATTGCTTGGACAGAATGTGCAAGAATCCCGAAAGCGCTCTGACCGTATCAATTACCTTCTGGGGAAACATCAGCAGTTTTCATGAAACTTGGTGCAGAGCTTTTGAAAATCTTCGTTCTTTCTCCACCTACAACTACTTCAGGTCCAAGCAGGGAGACGAGAACTGCCAAGCTGTGCAGTGTTATCGCAACGATAGAGTCGCTGGTATCTCGAAGGCCCAGCAGCACCTACACCGAGAACACAGTAACATTACCAAGAACAGAAAATTCCGCTTCTTCACTTTTTCCCCCCTTTAAATGTTATATTTACAGCATGTTTCATTTCCACTATTTCCCACAGCTCTCAGTAGATACTGGACTGTAATTATGTTATTCCGTAACATAAAATCAGCCTTCCACTTTGCTTTACAAGCTAAAGACAGTGGCTGATCCTTGTGCCTGCCAAGAACTGGACTGCAATGCCACAGCACCCTGGGCTTAGACTGATTCCTCCTCTGCTCTTGACAGCTGTGGTGTGAAACAGAAACAGAGTCTCTTTTTGTGAGGCTGCCAGTCAAGGCTGACAGGTATTGGCACAAGCGGTGTGTGTGACGGAGGGCATCGGATTTAACAGATCAGGATGGGGTGTAAGGGTTAGGGCTTGCATAGAAAGGAGGTTGCAAACTGTCAGAGGACTATGACACCCTAACATGAAGCTAAGAACCAACCCAAGCAATAGAAATCCCATATTCTAGGATAAACCACATATTGTTTTGCTGTCCTTAACCTGTGGCAATATGATGTTTTTCAACTCCTCCCGAGAGAACAGTTCTGCGTAGGCATGGATGTGAGACAGCAACACCATTCGAACGTGCTCCTCATGAACCTCAAATAGCTTCAGCAGCACAGGAATGACGTGCGTCTGGAACAAGGCCGGCGACAGGAGGCAGCTGGTCTGGCTTTCTCCAATTTGCTCTACGGAAGAGAGGCAAAGATGGGAAAAGGCTGCTTCAACAACAAGAGACAGCTCACCCAAAAGCTACTCACTGAGAAACCATCACAGCTGAGATCTACAGTGTCACCCCACTGCCAGCTCTGATTCTTTGTCAGCTGCCAACACAGCTTGCTGGGATGTCAGAGATGGGAGGGAGGAGAGGCAGCAGTGCCAGCATCCATTGCTCAATGGCAACAGCTCTGAACACTGAAGGTCGGACAATCACCACACAGGTATTGCTTGGCCAAAACATCAGTAGCTATTTAGGGAAAACTTCAGTAAGAGAGGGGAGGCAAACAGTGGGGACAGAGATAGCTGGGGATCCAGCAAAACATGCTGAACAGAGGAGAACAAGCGCAGTGGCAGAAGAAAAAAGGGCAGGGACGGTAGGGGAGAGGTGAGAAGAGAGATATGCAGTGAGCCACTGAGAAAGCCTGGGGTGGGCAGTTGGGTGACACGTAAACCTGGGAAAGAGCCCAGGCAATTCCTAATTCTCTCCCCAGCATCATCAGAGCACTGGGAAGTACTGCAAATGGGGAAGCACACATAACCACCCTTTCCAAATCTCCTGTTACACTACTTATTCAGGTTAAATAAACCCCACTATTCCCTTGATTCAATGGAACGACCGCTCTGAATTCATTCCAAACTTGTCAGTAATAATTCTGAAGAGAGAAACTATTTAAAGGTCACCTTTCTTTGGACCCAGGAGATGAGGAAGAAAACTCTTGACAGCTACAGGTTCTGCAAACACGAGCTGATTGAGTAGAAGAGGCACCAGCCGTGATGCTATCAGCTCCTCTGACAATCCAGTCACCCTGTCGAGCAGGA